TGGCTGACAAGTGGTGTAGGTCCACACCCAGGATCTGAACCCACAAACCTGGGTGGCCAAAGCAAAACATGCTGAACTTAACCACTACACTATGGGCTGGCCCTTGAATTTTTCTAATCCTGATTTATATTGTTCTTCTATAGCTTTTATCATTTTCTTAATTTCTTTTAGCTTGGTTTGAAACATTAATTTTTGTTTTGTAAGGATTTACTCTGTTCTATATTTTTATAATTTTGTATCATATTCCACAATTCTTTTCTGTTGTTCATTTTCATGTGAAATACATTTTCCTGTACTTTAAGGAGGGAAAGAAGGGACAGAGTAAACTTTCCTAACCTCAAGGCTCATGAAACCCTACTATTTTCATAAAGTGACTAAAATAAATGACCTAGTGCTGAGATCTGCTTCCTTTGCTTCTCTCTCACTTTAATCTGTACATTGTGTTTCTTTCGGCCCTACTGTCCCTGTCCTGCTCAATTTGGTGTCTACAGCCATAGCGTCTCCTTAAACAGGTTTTGTTTTGGAATGAAGCTTACGTTTGTTAGTTTCAAGAGTTCATAAGGACCTAGACTACTCCAACATCTTCAGAACTTAGCACAGTCCCACTAAACTCACCTGCAAATTGGCATCTGCACGAACCTTCCTTGTTTTGGCTGTTGTTTTCAAATTGGCCTGCCACGCTTTCCAGTGAAAGCTGCTGATTTTGGGGATCTCCTATTCTCAAGGCCATCAGCCATCCACAGCCTTCTCCACGGCCTTCTATACAGATAGCTGATACCATTCAGGTCTTTGGCTGCTTTTGAATTTGTCACTACCTAATCTTATTTTGGGATTGTGGGGATACTGTGTCACCAAGATTTGTTGTAGATACTGTGCATGGGTTTTTGCTTTTATGGAGGGATTTGGGAAAATTAAAAAACTAAACTGCTATCTGCCACCTTCTGTTCTTTAATGCACGTCCAGTAGTTAATTTTTTATTCATGAATTTTGTGATAGCAAACAGGTAGTAGAGCATAATGTATAACAGGCAGTAGAGTATAGTAGCATGGGCTACTATTTTTGATTGAGAGCATGGGCTTTAGAGTCACACTGTCTGGGTACAAATCCTAGATTCACTATTTACCATTGTGTGATCCATAACCTTTGTGTCTTAGTTTCTTCTGTAAAATAATAGGTTGTTGTGAGAACTGAATGAAATAACATATGTAAAGTACTGAGAAAAGTATTAGGTCACAAAGTAGCTATGCAACAAACATAGCTGTTTTAATTACTGTAGTTTTCTTTCTCAGGTCTAGGTCTTATACGGTGTTATAGTAGACTACAAAAAAAAAAAAGTAACAAACAGAAAACAGTATGGAGATTTCTCAAAAATTAAAAATAGTAATACAATATGACCCAGCTATCCCACTACTGGGTATTTATCCAAAGAACTGGAAATCAACAATTCAAAGAGGCTTATGCACCCCTATGTTCACTCCAGCATTATTCACAATAGCCAAGAAGTGGAAGCAACTCAAGTGCCCATCAACTGATGAACGGCTAAAGATGTGGTGTGTGTGTGTGTGTATATATATATATACACACACACACACACACACACACACATATATAATGGAATACTACTCAGCCATAAAAAAGGACAAAATCCTCCCATTTGCAACAACATGGATGGACCTTGAGGATATTATGTTAAGCGAAATAAGCCAGAGAAAGACAAACGCTGTATGATTTCACTCATATGTGGAAGATAAACTAACACATGGACAAAGAGACAGATTATTGTATGATTTCACTCATATGTGGAAGATAAACTAACACATGGACAAAGAGACAGATTATTGGTTACCAGAGGGGAAGGGGGTTGGGGGGTGGGCATAAGGGGTAAAGGGGCACATTTATATGGGGACTGACAAATAATAATGTGCAACTGAAATTTCACAATGTTATAAACTATCATGACCTCAATAAAATAAAGAGGAAATAGAACAGAAAAAAAAGTAACAAACATTTGAAAATTAAAAAAAAAAACAAAACCCAACCTCTTGAAATTAATTCTCGTTTCCATGACAAGATAGAAACCATGACTGCAAATAGCTAAAAAATAATGAAAATGAGAAAAACACATGGTAGACCAAGATGACTTCAGAGAAAAGTTCATAGTATTAAGCACTTTCATTACAAACAGAAAAGAATAAAAATATATGCAATAAGCATTCAATACAAGAAGTTAACTAACTGCCTTCTATTTTGTTTTCTTTTTAAAAAAAGATAAAAATAGAAATCAAAGATTCTTTTTTAAAAAAGTAAAATGACAATTCCAAATGTTGGTAAGCTTGTGGAACAGTGGAGACACTCAGATACTGTTGGTGGAAGAGGAAAAATGGTATCACTGAGAGGTCTAATTAAAGTGGAAGATGCACATAGCCTTGACCCATCAGGTCTACTTCTAGGTAAGTACCCCAGAGCAGACCTTCCCCACTGGTGTGCCAGGGGTGGGTGTTTGGGTAAGGGCTTAATTGGCCACAATTCCAAAGCCTCATCTTTTATCCCAGTGAGGTATACAAATATTCTTTTCTGTATTATCATCTATATACAGGAAGAGTTGGTAAGCAACCTCTTCTAGTATCTTTCTTGGATTTCCACATTAGAAAGCTAAGTTTTATTGGAGTCAGGGCCTTATTTTATTCTCTGCTGGATCTCCAGTAGCTAGAAAGTATCTTATGTATAGTCCTTGCTCAACAAATATATGTTGGATGTACAAATGCATACTACATATAAAAATGTTCATTGGAGTATTATAGAAGTGCAAAATCAGAGACTATAAAATGTCCATTTAAATAGAGAAAGAATGAACATGTATACTCCATTTGGAGTATTATTCAGCAGTTAAAATAAATGAACTAGAAATCCATGTATAAATCTCAAAAACAATGAGGGAAAAAAGCAAATTGCAGAAAGATATGCATGATGCAACTCATATAAGTTTATATTTATATAGAGTTTATAAACATGTGAAACAAGGCTATGTATTAAGTATAAAATTATACACGCATGGAATGATGCATACCAAATAATCGTTGCCTCTGGGGAAAATAGAAGAGGAATGTTATCAGGAAAATATTTGCAAAGGAGCTTCAACTTGATCTGTAGTATTTTACTTCTGCAGTAACAATCTGGAGCATGGCAAAATGTTAGGATTTAATAGGACTGAATGTTATTTGTTATGTTCTTTGTATCTTTATATGTTAAAATCAACTATAATTTTTTAAAAAGTAAAGTAGGATTGATAAATAAATCTAAGAATGTGTATGAAAAACAACTAAATGAAATAAATCATAGATTGCCTAATCAAGAAAGAAAACATGTACAGAAGATCAATGAAGAAAGTAAGTCAAGGTATATCGAAGAAATTAAGAGAATACTTTTTTTTTTTTTAAAGATTTTATTTATTTATTTTTTTCCCCCAAAGCCCCAGTAGATAGTTGTGTGTCATAGCTGCACAGCCTTCTAGTTGCTGTATGTGGGACTCGGCCTCAGCATGGCCGGAGAAGTGGTGCGTCGGTGTGTGCTCGGGATCCGAACCCAGGCCGCCAGCAGCGGAGCGCATGCACTTAACCGCTAAGCCACAGGGCCGGCCCGAGAATACTTTCTACAACTCTAAGCAAATACATTTAAAAGAAAGCCTCAATGAAACGTATGCTCTTTCTAGAAAAATGACAAATTACAAAAATTGATGAGAGAGAGAAAGATACAGCAAGGGAAAAAGCGGCAGAGAAGTTTTCGTCGAAAAAAAAAAAATCCAGGCCTAGATATATCTACCACTAAATTCTTTCAAATCTTGAGGAACAGATTTCCTTTGTTATCTAAACTTTTCTAAAGTATAAAGATAGAAAAAGAGTCCTTTCTTTTGGCATTCTTTGAAAAATAGTTATATTTTCATAAAGTAGGTTAAGAATTCCTATTGTGTCATGCAGCTACTGTGTCAACCAAAAACACAGCAAGGTTTAGAATTTTAACATTTAAATGTGACCGTTCACAGAAAAAGAAATACAAATGGCTCAAACAGATACCCAACCTTATTCCTAAGTGAAAATACAAAACTCCACTGAGATTTAACCTCCAGAGGTTAAAATACCATTATTCAACTAACAGGTTGGCAAAGATCAAAATGTTAGATAACACTGTTTAATAAGGATTCCAGGAAATAGGCAATCTCACACGTTGGTAGTGGGACTGTGAACTGGCAGACTCCTTACAGAAAGCTATTTGACAATATCTATCAAAAATAAGAATGCACAGGGGCCAGCCTGGTGGCGTAGCGGTTGGGTTCACGCGCTCTGCTTTGGTGGCCCAGGGTTTGCAGGTTCGGATCCCGGGCGCGGACCTACACACCACTTATCAAGCCATGCTGTGGCAGGCGTCCCACATATCAAGTAGAGGAAGATGGGCATGGATGTTAACTCAGGGCCAATCTTCCTCAGGGAAAATGAGGAGGATTGGCAACGGAAGTTAGCTCAGGGCTAATCTTCCTCACACAAAAAAAAGAATGCACAGATCTTCTGACCTAGTAATTCCAATTTAAAATTTTATCTTACAGTAACTCATTCATGTGCAATATGATCTATGAAAAAGGTTGTTAAATGCAGCACTATTTACAACAGCAAGATTGGAAAGAAAATATTTGTCAGCAGGGATTGCTCAAATATTTTCTGGTACATCCATACAAAGAAATATTATGCAGTTGTAAAAAAAGAATCAAGAAACTCTTTATGTACTGATATGGGACAATCTCAAAAATAGCATTCTAAGTGGAAAAGACAGGTTGAAGAACAGTGTGCACTGCACAGTACCATTTATGAAAAATATCTCCAGAAGGATATTTGAGAAACAGATAACACTTCAGGGAGGGGGAACTGGGTATTATAAAAGGGAAGGAAACTTTTCACTGTATATCATTCTATGTTTTCTGAATTTTGAACTAAGTGAATGTTACATATTCTGATGAAAGAATTTTTTTTCTTAAAAGACGAAATTTTGAAATAAAAACTGTAACAGTCCAACAGAAATACAAAATTCTGTTAGGTAAATTCAACTTAGAAAGTATTACATTTCTTTCATCTGATGGATAAACTTTTCCACAATTCCATTGAGTCTTTCAGGCTCCATCAGTTTATTTACCAATTCCTGCTCAACAGCCATTAGGGCCAGGCCACTAAGCTTCTCTTGTCCCATGGTACGACATAAATATGTTTTAAGACGAGGCAGTGTAGAAAATGAGTTTTCAGCGCTTGCTGAAGTAATTGGCCAAGACAAAGCAATATATAATAGCTTTGATATGCAAGGAATGTTATTGTGAAGACCATGCTGAATAAACAAATAGCCAAGATTGATGAAGTTGATACAATCATAATCTATGACAAAGTTGAGCTTTGCATATTGCCGGTAAAATCTAAGTTCTGGAATGATGTCTGCATCAAGTTTATAAAATTCTTGGACATGTTTGGCTGTTGCTTCATTTAATGGTTCATGCCATTTAAATAACAGTTCTGAAATTTGCTTCATTTTGCAATAATCAAACTCTGAAAAACATAATTTTAAATTTTGTAATATAGTATCCAATCCTTGGTAATAAATATTAATTTTATATTGTTCTTCTGTTGAGGTAGGAAAAAACATACTATCTGAATTGCCAAGATCTACTGTTTTCTGAATTTTTCTTTTTTTCTGAAAAGAAGGTCTTTCAACTTCAAAACCTTTACAGGTTATTTTTTGACATACCTCTTCTGTTCTGTCCCAGATAGTTTTGAAATAGACATCATTTCTTTCAGATGATAAACATTCCAAAATTGCTTCTATTTTTGAAGACAAAGAAAAAATGTCTATGGTTTCACTTTGAAGCTCTTTGGAAAGAATTCCTGTAACACTCAGCACTCGATAAAGAAATTTCAAACAAAAGATAAATTCAAATTTGGAAACCAATGTCACCAAATCACTCAATTCATTGGCCAAACTTTTGTTTGAAGCATGGCTTGATACAACTTCCAGTGTTTCAATAATCTCTGGAAGACCCTCAATCACAGATAGCAACGTACGATCATGGACTGTCCAACATGAATGTGATGTATGTTTCTTGCATGTTTTGTTTTGACTTAGCTTACAAATGTTTCGAAAATTTGCAGACATTTCCCCAGACATATGAATAGTGTTGAACAAAGAACTGAGAGTATTTAGAGCACTTCGGAGTTCTTTTACTTCTTTACAAAACCTAATTACTGCTAAATCCAAAAAGTGTGCATAACAATGTATGTATAAAGCTCTTGGCTCTTCCTTCTTGAATTCTGCTGCAATTTTATTAAATTTTCCCCTCAAATTAGTGGCACTATCATAGGCCTGGCCATGTATTTTATTCATATCAACTCCAATTTGCTGCAGGTAAGTTTTGATAGTCCTATGTAAATTGGTCCCAGTCATCTCTTCAACATCTATAAAACCCAAGAACCTTTCTTTAATTAAGATAGACTTTGCTGTTTTTTGTGGGTATCTTACACAAATTGAAAGCTGTTCTTTAGTAGCACTATCATTTGTCTCATCACATATTATTGAAAAAGCTGAGGAGACATTGATCTCATTCACAATATCTTGCAACATTTCAGTCTTTATTATTTCAATAATATCATTTTGAATTTGTGTACTATTATAGAATTCAACTTGTGAATTCATAAGTCGAAATATTTCTTCTCCTTTATCTTTTGCTCTAATTTCTACCAATTCTAAAAAATTGCCTTTATTCACAGATGAAACAGACTGGTCATTTTCTCTTAAGGGTAAATACTGCTTTCCAAAAAATAAAATATTTTCAATTATAAGCTTTAGGTACTTTTTATTTTCTTCAATCTTTTTTGCATGAATAGGTAAATTAGCATTGACAGCTTCATCACAAAATTGGTATTCCCTCCAAAATTGCAATGACTTCAAATGCATTTCACTTTTTTCATGCTTTCTGAATTTTTCCAGAGTTTTTTTCCAATTAGAAATTCCTTGGGCTGCAAGTGACTCTCCTCCACAGCTAAATTTTTTTTCGCAGAACAACTGGCACGAATAACAGAATATCACATCCTTTTTAAAACTGTTTCCCAAATGCTGCAAATTTGAACGCCAAGATTTTTTAATATTTCGTGATTTACCTTTAACTTTTTGTACTTTGGATGTAAATTTTGGATGACATAGTCCATCACTTATTTTCACAGATTTCATACTGTATGTAGCATCTTGTTTTGACACTTGATCTTTTTGTACTTCTATACTGGAGCCAGCTGTACGCTGACCGAGTATTGATGAAGACGGTGAAAGGCTTGGCTGTTCCACACTACTATTAGCAACACTACTATTTGATTCACTGGGTGAACTCTTAGAAATCTTTGAGAGAAAATGATAAAACAACGTTTGTTTTAACAGTTTTCAAATAATCAATTAAAACATCGAACACATCTATTCTAATACAATAAAATGAATGGGTGAGTTACAGTATGAGGTCTGCTAGGGGGAAACATTAACAATTATTTATAACTTATTCATTTGCTATCTAGATTCAGCATTAAATGTTCAAAGGATCTTTAGGTATATAATTGTGACAAAAATAATTTTTATTGCTCAGGTGACTAGAATTGCTTAATAAATTTTAAAAAAGGCAATTAAAGACCCCAAAGGAAAAACTATGACTAGCAATACTTCTGTTTAAATATTCCTATTAATAATTTCAAGTCAAACTTGAGATTTGGAAAATTGAATGTGAATATCAGAAGGTGTTTATTGCTCTACTTTTTTGAGCTCTAGGATAAAAATTGGAATGAATATGCTTATAAATATATAAATGAATATACACACCCATACAAAATATGCTTAAAAAAGAAAAGACAGCAGCAAAAAAAATTAAGAATAAAACTTACATCTGCAATGACATTTGCTGTTACTGAAGAAACTGTACCTAGTAAAATAAATTAGAGCATAAATTAAAGATCTTATACTACAATCTATAAAATAGCATCGTAAACTGTAATTGCTTATCTCATATCAGGCAACAAAAACAAACTTAGAATACAGATAGATTCATCACGTATGGCAAAATAGTGTGTATGTTATATATGTCAAATATCTTCACATCACTTTTTACCTTGTAAGACATCAGAGTTCACGATGGGCAGGGCAACATGAGTTTCTGCCAATGACACTATATTGCTTATAATTGGAGTTGTATCTTTCTTTGGAGAAAGGAGCTCCGTTGAAACACCGTGCACCATGGAAACATTTACTGATAAAAATAAACAAAAAGATTTCTTATAAACCAGGCAGAATCAATCAATCACAAAGCACTGTTTAAGAACAAGTCTTTCAACAAACAATGCAAATACCTAATAGCTTTAGGTATTGCTGGGTATTGGAGTAACTTTTATTAGGGCTTAGGGATAGCCAGGTTATTTAGACTAACATTAATAACAACATTAAACTAAAAATTTGCATTTCCTATCATCTTATATCTTTTACCTTTGCACACAATTTTTCAGTCCTTTTATATCATTTGCTTGAAATTTCAAGCAAATCTTTACTGTGAAATTACCCATGAAGAAGAGAAAAGAGATTCCTATAGAATCTCCTAATGGGTGGTATCATTTCTAACTCTTCCAGAATTCATAAACCCCAACTTGAACGATCTAGATTGGTGTTTAAGCTAGTATTGCAGCGATTTCTCTAATAAGCCAGTGTGCAAGATGTATAAGCCCCAGGGGCATCATGCACTCTACTGTCTAGGTAAATAGCACCAATGGTCCTATGTGAGGCTCTCTGATAGAATACTTAGTTGACCCTGGATTATTTATGCTTTTCTATCAGTGAACTTCAAAGTATTTCCAACTACCTCTACTTCACGTGAAAAATGTAACTAACAGCCTTGTACAAAGCAGGGCTAAGTACAAGATTCCATAGTCTAAGACAACAATCTTTACAAATAAGTATTAAATCTCTGGTGGTGAAGTAGCCTTCCTTTTATATAAAAATACTTGAAAACATTGCAACAAGTTTTGGATTGACTTTTAAGTCAGTTTAATTGGAAAATGAATCAAGGTTATAAAGTAAAGGAAAGCAGTAATATTCTTCAAATTACTAAACCTCTGATAACTGCTAAACAACCATTACCTGTAGAAGATTCCATCTTAGCTTTACTGTAAGCAGAGAAACAATTAATAGAGCAGAAAAGCTCTGTCTTCCCCAAGTCATTGGTAGTCTCAATCATTTCATCTGAGGGCTTCAATGATTTGCAAAGAACAGATGTAAGTGTTTTGGCTGGTTTCTGTTTAGAGATTAAAATAATATTCATATTCCTAGTATATGACATACATTGCTAACCAACAAAAAAATACCCACTACCACTGCTCTTAGTTGAAATATTACAAATAATGACAATGAGGCCACATTTTTACACTTTCTTAAAAACCAGAAAAAAAGGCACTATAGATTGCAATGACTAAAATAAAGGAAACTGGTCAATCTATTAGATAACTACTTGTATTATTTGTCAGATATATTAGTAGCAATAATAATACATATGCAAGCAATGAAGAAAGTGGTCATAGAAGATGTTCATCATTACAAGTAATCAACTGGATAAATAAACAAAAGTCTTATAATTATAGGTCTTTCCTCAATGCCAGCTTGGGCATCAACTCAGGAAAGCCTTCTGTTGGTGCTAAGGAGAAGCCAGAAAAGGGTGCTTAACACATGTTACAAGATGCTGTGGGAATCACTGTTTTTCTAGGCTAACTTCATGGTAAAAATTGCAAGCATACTCTAAGAAAGCAGGATACAAGCAGTAAGAGGTATAGAATACAGTGCATTCAGTAAGCAGTAAGTATGCAAAGGAAAAGGATATAAACTGTGAGGTTCACCACCTATTCTTTCTAGTGAAACATGAACCATTATTCCTGGACTTAACACCAATAGCAATGACGAAACAGAACTGCTTTTGGGGGCACAAAGTGCAAAGACAAACGAAAATAACTTGTACAGATTTTCCTTTTCTGTGAAAGAATAGAATACTCAAAGGAACAATGAAACAAAAAGTTGAGTATAATTTTGAAAATTTCTATTTTTATCTTTTATTAGTATCAATTTTTATATTTTGAGAAACCCCTAACAATTCACCAGTATTTAACTTAAACAACATTAGTGGTATAATTTATAATTAATTTACTATTCATCTGAGAAAGCTAATAGTAAACTAATACACTCTATGAAGATGTGGCCAAAATAATTACAATTTTACCAAACAATCTACTTTTTAAAATAAAAAGATACCCCGTATTTAGATTCATAAATTTGAACATTTTTCTAATTCTTGATTATAGTTCACTAACAATATGGGTTTTCTCCATGATCACTATCGCACAATATCTTACACGCAGGGCGTAGTGTTAGGTGGTGCTTTTTCACTCCATACATCCAGGTCAGCCCCGCCCCATCACACAGGCTGAATAACTGAGTACTCAATATAATTGTTTGTTTCTAAGGAAGAATTTATATTGGGTCTCAAAGCATCATCTGAACAAGCAAGATATATGACAGTTCCACCTCATGAAAGGGGATCAGATGACTAATTGTGTTCACCTCACTTAGTCCACCAAGTGGGCCAGCTTCTCTGCTCTCAGAACCACCCACTCAAGGCTCTCCTATCAGAAATAGGGGATTATTTCTCATTGGTTTATTTCCTCCTATGACTGATTCAGAAAAAGCACATGACATACTTGATTCATCTTAACTTTGCTCAGGTGTAGGAATTAAATAAATGGAATTAAAAACTGCTTGCCTTTTCTTCAAGGTAAGATTATTACCCTGAGATTCTTTAGGAAAATCTCCATACAGCTCTTATGAATTGTTATGCAAGAAGGAACTGTCAGTAGTCTTTTATTTCATCTCCTTCATCATCTTACAACTGAAACTATGTCCAATGGTACTAAAATCTACATCCCCACATTTCCCCAAAATGGAACCATTCACAAGGCAACCAATGGAAGGAACTCAATCTCCAATTTTTCATTTGACTCCTATTCAGTCAGATTCAAATGGAGCGGTCCTCACTTTATGCAACAGATTTTTATCCATACCTGCTTATATGCTGTAATACTCTTTGAACTACTAAAGTAATGAGACTGTCCTTCCATCGGAAGTATATGGAACAGACTAGAGCTACTGTAACAGTAAGCGCCACAGTTCTCACAACAGTTCATGATGAGGTTGTTAGCAGAGTGAAACTTGGAAAAACAGGCATTACTGCAAAGACTATGTTTCACGTTCTGGTATTTTACTTCATACTGAATCTAGGATTGAAGAAAAAAGATTCAGTAAAAGCTCTGATATTTAAGCAGAATAATCAGGGTTCCTAAGGGTTTTAAAAAAATTGCAACTTACAACAGTAGTCTTCTGACACATGCTGCACTTGGTTAAAATGTTATTAGTACATATGGTAACAAATTGTTTTCTTTTTTCTTCATATGACAAAAGACAAGATTGGCTGCAAAAATTTTTACTAGAGGTAGTATCTTCCAGCTGGACACTGATCACATCCTTTAGATTTAAAATGTCTCTAAAAATAAATAAGAGCACCATTAAACACTTTTACAATTATAATTTTTCTCTTCACAAGCTAAATCACTCCCACAAACCACCCTCTCCCCCATTGTTTCATTTACCTGAAGAACTGTGAATTAGTAGTAACAACATCAGCCTTGAAATAAGAAAACCTGAATTTGGCATCTAGTTCTATTATTAAGTAACAATAGATAAGTCATTTATCCTCCCTAAATGTTATTTCCTCAACTATAAAGTAGGAATTATAAAACACATCCGCTAGTGCAGTTTTGAGGATTACCTAGCCTGTATTAGTTGGTGTTAGTGAGAACAGAATGATGATGAGAAATCATACCTGACCAACTTTGGAATCTACTGGACAGAGGATTTCAAAGTATGGTCTGCAAATCCCTGGGGATCTCCCAGATACTTTCAGGGGGTTCACAAGATCAAAACTATTTTCATAATATTAAGATGTTATTTGCCTTTTTCACTGTGTTGACATTTGAATTAATGGTGCAAAAGCAACAGTGGGCCCCTGCAATTCCACTCCTAGGCATATACGCCAAAGAATGGAAAATAAGTACTCAAGAAAGTACATGTACGTGCATGTTCCTAACAGCACTATATACAGCAGCCAAAAGATGGCAACAGCTCAAATGTCCATCAATGAATGAATGGTTAAACAAATTGCAGCATATACATAGAGCAGAACATTGTTCAGCTATAAAAAAGGAAAGAAGTACTGATATACATGCTACAACATGGATGAACTTCAAAAACATGCTAAGGGAAAGAAGCCAGACACAAAACGTCACATGCTGTATGATTCCATTTATATGAAATATCCAGAATAGATAAACTCATAAACAGAACACAGAGATCGGTAGTTGCCAAGGGCCGAGGGGAGAGGAGGGAGGGCAATGGGGAGACACTGCTTAATGGATAAGGCATTTTTCCTCTGGAGTGACAGCAATGTTTTGGAACTAGATGTGGTAGCTGCACAACACTGTGAATGTATTAAATGCTACTGAAATGGTTGTTATATGAATTTCACCTCAATAAATTGGGAAGAATGAAAAAGCAATGGTGGGTAAAACTGCCAGAGCTTTTATACAAATCAAGGCAGCGGCACCAAAATGTACTAGTATTCGTGTTATTCACTGCCATGCATTTGCTGTAAAAATTATTCACTTTATTAAACTTGATCCTTGAGTACAACTTTTCATTATTCTGCGTGATGAAATGAGACACAGGCATAAGTATTTCCCCTGCACACCCAAGTATGATGGTTGTCTCAAGGAAAATCTCATGTGGGAACGTTCAAGGGTTACAATGTGAGTTAGACTTTTTTCACACAACACATTTTTACTTGAAAGAACAACTATCAGACAAACTGTTAACCAGAACTGAGTATCTGGCAGATATTTTCTCAAAAATGAATAAAGTAAAACTGTTACTTCAAGGAAAACAACTGCCAATATTTATTGCCAACAATAAGATTTGAGCCTTCATTGAAAATTAGAATTTTGGAAAACTTGTATCTGCCACCTCCAGCTTCATCGTTTCCCAACACTTAAGACTTTCCTAATGAGATTAGTGGTGATTTTTTTTTTTAACAAATGTGATTTTAAAAATATTGCATAATGAAATCTGTCAACATTTGGAAGATCTACATAACTCAGTGAACCAATATTTTCCAAATGATAGCATGTAATGCAAATCATTCATGGGTAAAAGAATCATTCAAAGTACAAATAGACCAATGAATTTTAACATTAACAGTACAAAAAATTCACTGATATGGTTTCAGATTCCACATCACAACTAATCCTTAAGAAACTACCACTTGTTTTCCGGTGGGCCGGCCCCGTGGCTTAGCGGTTAAGAGTGCTCGCTCCGCTACTGGCGGCCTGGGTTCGGATCAGGGTGTGCACGGATGCACCACTTCTCCGGCCATGCTGAGGCCGCGTCCCACATACAGCAACTAGAAGGATGTGCAACTATGACGTACAACTATCTACTGGGGGACTTTGGGGGGAAAAAAGGAGGGGGGGGGTTTGGCAATGGATGTTAGCTCAGAGCTGGTCTTCCTCAGCAAAAAGAGGAGGATTAGCATGGATGTTAGCTCAGGGCTGATCTTCCTCACAAAAAAAAAAAGAAAAGGAAACTACCATTTGTTTTCTGGTGTAGTATCAAAGAAGAGCAACCACAGTTATCTAAAAGGCTATTAAAACACTTCTCCCTTTTCCACATATTTGTAAGGCCAGATTTTCTTCAGATTTCAACTAAAATAACATTTTCCAATAAACTGAATGCAGAGGCAGACATGAAAATCCAGCCAGATATTAAAATGGCTTGCAAAACTGATAAAACAATGCTCACTAAGTTTTTCTTAAAATTTCTCTTCTCAATAAATTAAAAAAGTATACGGTTATCTTTCATAAAAATATTATTTATGTCAACAGGCACTGAAGTTTATTATTTTTAAATGAGTTAATAGTTAAAAATTTCTCAGTTTTAATTTCTAACACAGTATATATTGGTAGACATAACCTATATAAACTAAAGCTCTTTGGGTCTTCAACAATTTTTAAGAGTGTAAATGGGTCCAGAGACCAGAAAATTTGAGAACTGCTGCTACAGGCAATGCCAAGATATCTGGCTACCTAGAACCCTCAGAATATCAATCTTTCAGCATAATAGTTTTCCAGATGAAATACTCCTGAAATCAACACTATTTTAACACTTCAAAATTTATAAATTTTTAATGTATTAGGATCTCCTTCTTAAAGAGATGGCACCCAAAATAACAGGTGCATTTCTCTATCACATCAGTCATTTAACTGGTTTAAAATATAGCTCTAAATGCAGTACCTGAATTGTGCTATCCTTGTACTTCATTTGACAAAAACTTTTCTAGGATTCACTGTGTGCCAGGTAGTGTTTAGGCCTTGGTGATATAAAAATGAGTATAATCTAGCCCCTAATGTCAAGAGGTTCATAGTCTAACCAGGGCAATATCAATTCTTCAAAAACATTAATTTTATGATCAATGAATGCTTTGGGAGTTATGAACACCATGAAAACACAGACCATGGAACAATCAATCTGGGGAAGGTTGGGGGTAGTAAGAGGAGAGGAAGGAATGGTGTGGGAATAGACAAGAGGTAAAGATATCTGAGGCAGGCCTTTAAGACAGAAAGAAATGAGCCAGATGGGAAGGGAGGCAGAAGAACTGCATCGGCAGAAGCGTGGAAGTCTGAAAATGCTTACTGGTTTTTGCTGCTATCAGCACACTAGATTGCTCGCTTCTAATCTAAGGCCTTATAAATAAAAAAATCAAAAAATGAATTTTGTTACAAGTGCCTAAAAACAGCTTGAACAAACTCTGAGCATAGGTCTGAACAACTTTTCTACAAATAAATGTTACGGCATTAGTGCATGGGCCTATTCTGAACTCTATTGATTGCTTCCAGGATCTCTGGTTGGTTCTAACTGGCATACCTAAGTGCAGAAACAACACTGAAATACACAGCTCTCAAAAAAAAGTCTTATTTTTCTAATATGATTTAAAACGTCATTTTCAAAGCTCTTTCATTTGGCTCATGAAATAGAATAAAAACTGCATTAACTCAAAACAGATTTCAAATCACTGCCATAAAAGAAACTTCAACAATAAGTGGTAATTACCTATAACATCTTAGAAACTAAATATTAGTACAAGAGGCTAATGAATGTAGAATAAAAAAGTTTTGAAAAAAGCATAGGTTACTCTGAACAATGGGTAGATGGCCTCTCCCAGTCTAAGCATTACTACCACCTTTCTGCCAACCTATAAAATAGTATTTGTATCAAAAAAATTTTATTCCAAAGGAAGGAAAACTTGTTTCGTATTTTTGCTCATACTGGATTTCCTTGCCTTAGAGAACAACTTACACACTAACAGCCTTTTCAATCTGTCTTGAGACATCTGCTAAAGATGTATAACGGGTAAACTCAACACAGCAACAAGGTACCTTAACTTTTCAGGGCCTCAGTTTCCTCAAAACCAAAATAAAATGTTTGGACTGGATGATCTCTAAGGTCCCTTCCAGTTTTGATTCTGCAGAGAAAGAAAGCAGGCTGAAGAGAGTGCCATATAGTGCATAGCAAAAAAGAAAAAAGACAAAGCATAGTATTGAAGAGTTGAAAAAGCACAAGAGAAAGGCAAGTAGAGTCCCAGGGAGTGAGACCTGAAGCAGCAGTCAAACAAGGAGCTGAAGCAACCAATAAAAAGGGTTTGTGAGTTTGCTAAGAGAATAATAATAGTGATAACTAAAATTTACTGAGTTCTTAATAAATGCCAGTACTGTTCTGATACCTTAAATATATTATTTAATGCTCATAATTCTTATGTACATTTATTAAAACAGATGGGAATACTAAGAAAGAAGTTCTCAATGCTTTTCAAACTTTAGCATGTATTTGAATCACCTGGGGATAAATGCAGTTCTGATTAAGCAGGTCTGGGCAAGACCTGAGATTCTGCATTTCTAACAAACTCCCAGATGACAGCTGCTCAGGGATCACACTTTGAGTAGCAAAATGTAACTGTAAATGAAGGAAGCAAGATTCAAATTATGGCAATCTGATTCCAAAACAAGACATTATTTGAAAGGAATTTATTATATTTAGAAGCAAAATTGGTGGCCTATGTGTTTTCTTGTTCTGAAACAATGACATTTAAAACTTAGTATTTGCATTTAATGAGTACAAACCAACCAGAATTATAGTACAATAAGGAGGCTCTGAACACGTGAAGCACTGATCCTTTATACATCTCAGGGTAGAGTTCAAGGTTCTGGACATTTTTCACTAATTCATTATGAAATTACTACTACTTGCTTTCTCTGTATCCAAAGTGCCTCACATAAGTAAAAAAGTTAGCAACAAAGACCCCAACAATAGATCATAGAAATCTTGAAAAGATTACATTCGTCCATCTATGTTTACCTATGGCTATTAAATTTTTCAAAACAATTAAATAACTTCATTTACCATTACAAGAGAAACACATAATTTTACACCTTGGAAGATCCAAAATAACTGTCAAATGCTTAATTTTTTAGTAGTTGCTCCCTATACAGTTAAATGATAAAATACAATGGGCATATAATAATCCCACATATAGAGAATTCCAAGTGGAAAAAGTAGGAAAATAAGTTTTGGAAGTCACATTATTTAAAGTTGAAGAGAAACAGAACTCCTCACATTTTCATTTCTGCAAATCTCTCAATAAACAAAAAAACTATTTCTGAAGAATGTATTAGAGGAACTGAAAGCAGAAGCAGCTTCTTTTCACTAAACCAAGGTGATACTTCTTCAGAAAAAGTGAAAATGTAGAAAATTACAACCAACACTCTGATCAAGATCTTTGTAGGGAAGTAATAGGGAGTGTAATTTAGAATTATATACTTTGAGCAGTTTGAACAAGTTCTCTTGGGAGTTGCTGGTGAATTGGCAGATGAGATGTATTCAGCGATGCACGGTGTGGAGCAGAAAAGCTGACTAGACCCTTTCCTCTGATAAGCTGTTTGCCCCTTCTGAAGAATTTTTTTACAACCAGAACAGGAAACCTGAATAGCTGTAGTTGAAACTGAAGGAAGCATTTTACTCATGCCAGATGATGCCAGAGAAAGCTGAATGCCAGTAGTCAACTGTGAAGCTATAAACACAAAACAGAAAGAAAAAAATTAGCATGCTTCTTTCATTTTCTTTTAGAGGTTACTTCTCCCGGATTTGAAACCCAAAACAAACAATGCACTATTCAAAGGCATTCTAAAAAAGTAGGGGGCCAATGCTCGGTCTATAAGATCCTGATAATCCTGTACTATCATGGAATGTGCCCACATGCCTGAAAAAATAAGTGGCATGTTAATTATAGCAGGTTGAACTTTTTACGTTTTTTAATGCAAAGCATTATTTTTTAAATGTGAACACTGAGGCAAAAAAAAATTTAGCTCACAATGGAGAAATGCAAGTTTGCACATATTTCATTACTTTTTAGTTTCACATAATACGCAACAAAAATGAAAAATATATTTATCTTAATTTAAAAAGCCAAACACATCAAAGTGATTACATTTAATTCAGGATTAGTCAATAGTCGCTATGACATTATAAATTTAGGTCCTGCAGCAATTGGATTACATTGCATCTTTAAACCATAATAATATCTCCAATAATTTAATAAGTTAGTCTCTTCAAAATAATTAGAAAGCAAATGTTTTCCTGTGCATATAAATTCTCTTGATTTTTATATATGTTTACAGCATAGTCTTACAATTGAAAATAGGACAAAAGTATACAGCAATATTCCTTTTAAATATGAAAACTGAAAATAACCCAAATACCCAGGAACAGGAAAGTGATTACAGGGACTACGATGTTATCAATATGATGGAATAAATATGCAACCATGAAAAAAATGAAGACTATGAGAAAACATTAAAAGGTATATTTGAGTTAATGTTAAAAAAAAAACAAAAAAAAAAAAGTAGGGGGCCAGCCCAGTGGCGTAGTGGTTAAGTTCGCACGCTGCTTTGGCAGTCCAGGGTTCCTGGGTTTGGATCCCAGGCACGGACCTATACACCATTCATCAAGCCATGCTGTGGCAGCGTCCTATATACAAAGCAGAGGAAGACTGGCAACAGATATTAGCTCAGGGCCAATCTTCCTCACCAAAAATAAATAAATAAATAAAATAAAATTAAGAAGTAGAATAAATTGACTACTATATTGGTCAGAATAAATATGATTAACTTAAACAATTCTGTTACCACTGTCTGAAAACGTAGAATTTATTTTCAGTTCATTCTCCTGAGTTTTGGGCTGTTGGGCTTGACAATACTCCTAAAAAAGAGTTGAAAATAATGAATACAATGTGTTTAAAACAACCAGCCATTCTATGGAAAATGACAAATTATGCTCAAGTCTGTTCAGTGAATTGTATAATTGAACTGAACCATGGTACATATGTAAGCACTCCCCTTTTGGTGACCTTTGGCTGATAATACCAATCAATTACTGCATTATTTTCTATTGTACTCAGATGTGACTTCAAAAATTTTTGTTAACACAGTCCCTCAGTAGCTACTACAAATAGACAGACTTAATAATGACACCTATTTTCCCTCCTTGTTCTAATCACTAACAGCTAATTGTCTTCATAAAGACCTTAAACACAAAAATTGTTAGATTGGGCTGAATGAGTCTGACAAAGGAGGATTTTTTCAGAGCAGCAGGTAATCTATCTAAACATGATCTATGTGTTTGAATGTCCATGGGTTGAAGAAGCAACAGATACTTCCTAAATGGACAACATTCCCCAGTGTCACCAGCTCAATGGGAGTCATATCCTTACTTGATACTGATTTACTTTAGGCCTATTGCTAAACAGAATACTAGAAATAAATTAAAACTGAATTTACTTTTTGTTTCGTTAGAAATTTCAAGTGGTTCATATGCAAACATTCTAAGGAAATTTGGCCCTACTTAAGAACACTCACAGTTTTAGTCACTTTATCCTTTATATGTTTTTTAGCATCTGATACGCCTAAAAAAGTTTAAGAATAAACATGAAACTATTTTGGATAAAAAAATTATAAAGAAAAAAATTCTAAGAATTTAAAATTTACTAATTCTACCACTTAATAGAGGCAGTAGCATAAAAACATATAATGGGTTATTTGTATTGTTTCTATTCAAGAAAAATGAAAACAAAAAAGTGGTAACTTTAGTTAGGCCCATAATATCCTAAGCAATCCTTTTATCAATCCAAAACCAAATTCCAAACAGTCCATTCTTCTCTCAAATCACATTCTTGTGTATACTTGTTACGGCATTTAATAGCACACACCTTGTATCATTTGATCAACTGCTTTGGGGATGATAAGGATTTACGATTTTCAACCAATAAACCAGCATCTTAATAACTAAAATTTATAATTAAATGCTGCTCTAGAAAAAAAGAAAATAAGGTAAAATATTTACCTGAGAATTGTCGGGTTCTGTCTTAATTTCATTTAGCTCCCCTAGCTGTGGTGCCACTGCCTTGTCACATTCATTATCTACCAGTGATTCTTTCATCTTAGTATCTGATGCAAAGGAATCCTTCAGTTCCAAACTAATGGGCTTCTTCTTGGGGAACATTTTCCAGATTCCTAAAATAAAATATAAATTGATGAAGAGTCTAATTTTAAAATCAGTCCTTTTAAATATGGTAATTTTCTAGAAGTACAAAAGGGTCTTTAGACAGCTCGGCCTCAAGGTTCTTTCACAGTACCAACATTGGCTTCCTTTTCTTTATCCATTATTCCCCAATATAACTTTGCTTTATACCTCTCCGGTAGATATACCTCTACGCTTTCTTCTGGGACTGGTCTTCTCCATTTCTATTCCCCCAGGCCTAACTATAGCATAAAAACACCAAACCTACAAGTTTATTTTTAACTTATCAAACAGTCTTAGAAAATACAAAGCCTTCTATCTGAGGTTAATCCAACCACCTGTACTCACTACCTCTCTCCCACACTGCCCTCCTATAGAGCCCATTATCATCTGCATCTTCAACTCCTCTTTCCCTCCTACTGGTCCTCACATTTAAGGACTTAAAATACATTCAAGGATCCAACTTCTAAAGCTATTGCCCTCTCTGACCACTCCCTCCCTCATCCTTGAAATTCTCTCTTTCCATGAATCCTATGACTCCAAGATCTGTTTCTCCTATTTCTTTGCCAGTCGTCTTCTCATTTATTTCACTTGCTTCTAAAATATTTGTGTTCCTCCAAAGCACAATTCCCCAGGACTCTTCTCACTTGCTGTATGAGCACAACCTTAAATTCAACTATCATCTATAGGCTGATTTTCCCCTATACTCCTGAGTTGCAGCCCATATAACTAATTGCCTATTAATTATCTCCACTTGGATGTCCCAGTGGTCCCTCAAACTCAAGAGACTTAAAACTATACTCTTATATTATCACTATAAACATGCTTTACACGTTCTCTTTCTTGGTAAATGGCACTGTAACTGAACCTCTTAATTCTCAAGTTCGTGTGCCCAATGCACAGTAAGCCAAACAGTGAGACATCGGTGCTTGGAGATGGAAAAGAGTTTATTCGAAATGGCCAAGAGGAGAAGGTGGGAGGCATGAGTTCTCTCAAATCTGCCTTAAGAAAAGAAGGCAGGGGGTTTTATAGAACTAAGGGGTGTGGCAGGAGGAGTTTCAGAGACACAAAAGCATAATCCATGTTTCTTTCACTCTCAATAAGCCCCTGGGCAATCTGACTTCTGGGCATCAACTTCTGGGCTGGGGGCTGGTTATCCTGCAATCCTTGAAGGCATTCTCTTTATTCTGTAAAACAAGCTCATAAATCCTTGTCACCCTTGAGTTACCCCTCAGGTTAAACATCAAAATAGCAAATTGACAAGATTAACTTCTTTTCATAACAAGGTTGAAAGGTAATCTTATTGAATATTTACAGTAACCCTCAGGTACCTGGCTTCAATCCCCACTGTCTTTTTTTCCCTTCCTCATTCTTGTAGGAAGCAGAGTGTCAATCATTCTGGCTATTTCCTGCTGAAAGGGGGTGAAGAGGGGGAAACTGTGGAATGAAATTTTTCAACCTGAGACTGAAAATACTCTTGGGTACTGGCTTATATTTTGCATTGTATGTTATTAGAATTTTTGCACCTCATTCACCAATTTTAGTACAACATCTAAAAGCACATTTTATCATCAAATATCTGGCCAGAAAAATAAGTAGTATACAGACAACCCATATTTGAATAGTCCCTGAAGAATAGATCTAATCCCTTGGGGAATCCAAGAGAACAGTCTTGAAAACCAGTCTAGACATTGTATGACATATCCAACTCTAGAAAGATTACTTGCCTTTGACAACATCTGAGAAATTCTAATAATCCAAGTGTCCTTCCAGGCTTGGGGGTCAAAGTCAACAAGGAAGCATAATAGCCAGTTTACAGATAGTAAACAAAAACCTCAAAGACAATTTACAGAACTAGAATCTAATATCCACAAGTGTGTATTATAGTTTCTACTGAAACATAATTTTTCTCTCTAAAATCACCCTCATTTTTACTAAATATAGCCAAATTAAGACTAATCAGTTAACTTGGCCCAATTATTTACATATGTACACCAAGAATAGCAATTGATCATATAAACTCTTTTAAATCTGCTTTTCTGGAACTTTTTATAAGGAATCTCAGATTGAACTTCAAAGGCCTATCGAGGCCAGGAAAGCCAAGCCAAGAACCTGTCAACAGACTCCACCTGTAATACCTATAGATTTTGGTGAATTCCTCTCTTCTTGAAGTCCCCAAAATATTCTGAGGTTCCAGGCACCTGCTAGAGAAGTGATCTTTACTCACCTGGTAAGGTTGCTAGGTACCAGGTACAAGGTATCAGGCCAATATTTCCAAGTGGCTTTATTTCATAAAGTCAACCTTTATTCCTCAAAAGCTGTCTGGTCATATCTGAGTCTATGCATGTTTCTCTCAAATATGACATTCCAGTCAAAGCTTTGGTAATATAACCAATGTTTCCAATTGTGCCCTGTTATAAGGAGAACAGATTTTTATTGCACTCATGCATACAACTATATTGCACTTATGCAAAGAACAGATTCTTATTGCAGTTATGCAAATAACTACATTGCCATGAAAACAATACTCACTCACTCACTCACTCACTAAGAGTTTCCAAATTCTGGAGGGATCAGGTAGGGAGAAATAGATAAAAGTTTCAATTTTGCTTGCAAAAGTATAATTTACCAAATTGCTATAAGTCATAGTTAGCTTGAGAGAAAAGAGAAAAAAATTTCCTCATCAGTTCATCCAGTCCCATGTAATCAACTCTTGATCTTGATCTTCTGTAAGCAGTTTCATGAAGTCATTAGTTTCTCCATTAGAGTTCTGTAATTTCTTACCCTGTTCAGTTTTATAATCTGAAAGTTTATCAGAAACTTGTATTCTAGATTGTGTCCTTTCCATGAATCTCTCTGAAGATGAAATACATCCGTAAAAACATCAGAGTAAAACAACAACTATCTACAAAAGACAAGGAGACTTGGCTATTGCTATGACATACAACACTTCAAGATAATAAATAGAATTATGGCTGACAACCATGACAGATCAGAATTTTAGGAAGGTTATATAATTTTTAAAACATTTATATCAATAACATTTACCCACATAATACCATCTAAGAAGGTTTACCATCACTTATTTGACAATGCTTCCCATGTAATTTAACATACCAAATAAGCCTAATTAGTTTAGTATCTTCTTTGTAGGAAGACAGAGAACAAGTTTCTTCCAGTAGTCCCGAGAATAACTGGAAATTCTCAGTTTCCTTTTTTTTTTTTTTTTAAGTCAAAAGAAAGACTTTAATTTTGGGAGAAGTTCATCAAAAATATCAAAAAGTTTTAAAACACTTGGTAAAATAGGAAACAAGGCTTAGTTATCCATTTAATCAAAGTGACAACAGAAATTATTTTAATAAAACATAGTTTTTTCTGTCTTTTATGTAGACTTATTCAAAGGTAAAGAAAACCTTTTATACTCTCTTTATCAAGAGCAGACCCAAAGTTAAAGAAAATTATACCAAATTCTAATTTTGCACCAGCTTACTTTTGACATTAAAACTCATTTACTGGGGCTGGCCTGGTGGCGCAAGCAGTTAAGCGCCCGCACTCTGCTGCGGCGGCCTGGGGTTCGCTGGTTCGGGTCCTGGGTGCAAACTGACATACTGCTTGGCAAGCCATGCTGTGGTGGCGTCCCATATAAAGTGGAGGAAGATGGGCACAGATGTTAGCCCAGGGCCAGTCTTCAGCAAAAAAAAGAGGAGGATTGGGGGCCGGCCCCGTGGCTTAGTGGTTAAGTGTGCACGCTCTGCTACTGGCGGCCCGGGTTCGTATCCCAGTGCGCACCAACGCACTGCTTCTCTGGCCATGCTGAGGCTGCGTCCCACATACAGCAACTAGAAGGACATGCAACTATGACATACAACTATCTACTGGGGCTTTGGGAAAGAAAAAAAGGAGGAGGATTGGCAATAGATGTTATCTCAGAGCCGGTCTTTCCTCAGCAAAAAGAGGAGGATTAGCACGGATGTTAGCTCAGGGCTGATCTTCCTCACAAAAAAAAAAAAAAAAAAAGAGAAGGATTGTCAGATGTTAGCACAGGGCTGATCTCCTCACACACACA